AACAACGAGGCAGTCACGAAATATTTTATAAACTTTATTAAATAATAATAGAGAGAATCAACAAAAATAATGGTAAAAATAAGAAGATAAAGTTATGGGAAAAAATAAGTTTGTCGGAAAGTACAAAACGATAAGCCAATTCTGTGGAATACAGGATAGCGTTAATTATTAAAAATGGTAAAAGTGTGAGAGCTGATGTTCAACATGCTTTCCTACTTGCGCAATTATTCATTATCAATAATAAGGAAGCTTAACGCACCACACATTCAGCACAGAGCAATCACAGCTCGACCATACTGCAGTATTTCCCCATCGCATTTACACACCGGTGCAATGTAAAGGACACAATTACATGATAACACCAAAGTATGAAAACCAACAGCAACCTCACCCATCTCAACGTAACACAGCACAGTCTCTCAGCAACACCATCCTCCTTGCTTGCACCTGAAGAATCACCACAACGGACAGAACAACGACTCCATCTTAGCACGCGTAGAATGACTTCACTAGTAAAATGACTAAAGCAGAATCTCTCGTGCTCTGCTGCCACACTGAAATTTATACTGCACAAACGAGTTTCTCGGTATACCCTCAATTCCAACTAGTCACGAGACCCAACCGCCATTTTATAGATGCGCCTACAAGTTAGTATTAACAATATAAATTTTACGGAAAAATTTTAAGATAATTAAAAATATATCTTAATTATTAATTTTAACTGGCTAATACTCGCAAATAATACTCGCAAATACTCGCTAATACTTAGGAAAACACGACATGTACTCTAATACGAACAGTTGTGATGTACTGTACTCTTGTTGGGCGCTGGCAGAATAACAGCGTTGTAGGCAACTGCAACATTTATGCTGAGCTAGAGCCCATTCATTACTACACTATAAAATTTTGGTTATTTCTGTGTATACTGCTCACTGTAACTTTATTGGTGGTAATAAATAAATGTTTTATTTTATTATGTTATTTTTATTATTATTATTTCGGTTATTGATACACATAGAATAATCACATCTGGTTGAGCTGGATAAACATATAAAAGGAAAAAATAAATATACTTAAATATATATTTAATATACTAACATAAATAAATAAATAATACATAAATAAAAAAAGCCCAACCAGATGGAAGCCCTCGGCAGGGGAGACCAAACGGCCGAGGGTTAGGGGAAAAGGGAAAGAAACCGGCGGACGATGCGGGCGGTAGAGGCTGAATGGGATTAGCCCGTTTGCAGAGACGACTACAGGAATAATTTAATTTCGGTCGGCAGACCACCCCACATGTCGGTCACCTCGTGAGCCAGGTCCAGATATTTTGATCGCTTATCTGTTTCGGCTTTCACGAGGTTCTCGTCATACGGAATGGTAATGTCGACCAAAAATATCCTGGACTGTGCCCGATCCATCAGCACAATATCAGGCTTATTCGCAAGAATAGTCCTATCTGTGATGAAGGCCCGGTCCCAATAGAACCTGGCGCGATCATTTTCGAGCACGGCTTCCGGCAAGTACTTGTAATACGGCAATTTCCGATCCACGAGACCGTATTTCAGAGCGAGCTCCTGGTGAAGGATTCTGGCTACTAGGTTGTGCCTGTGCAAGTACCCAGAGTTTTATTGTTAGTTTACGTTAACATCAAATGGTGCTGTCCATCATTCGTGTTATTTTTTTCTCTAGTGCCTCTTACGACAACCACGGGATGATTTGGGTAATATTTTCCCTTACACTGCCACTACACGGCAAAATATAGCAGGATAATTGAATCAAATTTCAGGAAGATGTAGACGCGTTTACGATTTCATTAAATTTACTTGTAAAATTACTAATTTTACTGACAATGACCTTTGTTACTGTAAATGAGGCATTCCCACTTAGTCACAACAACAACGTAACAACAAAGCAACAACGGGTGACAACGCATCTGCGTTTTGATTTGTAATCGAGGGTAAAGGTAGATGTCTTTGGGCCACAGTAACTACTTACCACCAGGTGGACTGTGTACTTGTTGTAAAAAATGTTTTTCTACCTAGTAGTACGTGAGGACTCCGCGATCAGTCCGTCCGTGTAGGTACTACCATTTTAGATATTTCTGCTACCAACTAGCATTGTTTGTACTGCTGTGGATACAGGATACCTTACAGGCTGTAAGGTATTTCATCTTAAACTCTAAAAGTAACAACACGAATGTAGCCTTCTTTTGTTGAAGTTGACTGCATGTGTGTATGGACTGTATTAGCCACATCCCATCAAGTTGATTGTAAGTTCATATATCACTACAGTTTTATAAAAAAAATATCTACCATCATTTTATAACACCCACGGTGGTTTAAAGGTTTTAAGGCCTCTATTAATTTCTTTTAACTGTCGTTTTTTAACTGGTCTCCAATGATTTACATTTGGTGACGCTCTCGTTCATGCTTATGGTACTTTCTCACAATATGATTGCGATGATTTACAACTATGGTAAAGCTTGTTCATTTTCTATTGTACCATAAAATGATTTTCATACTTCGCGTTTATTGCGTGTATTAAATAACCTGTACTGTAATAAAGTACCGTTGTTATGTGTAATATTCACGCAGTAAATGCCTTAATGTTGAGTCTTTGCCACTGTAAAAACTTACTATCAGTAATGACAGTAAGTTTTATTATGTCAAAGAAACAGCATTGTTTTTAATTTCCTTTAGTTTCCTTTAAGGAAATCTAAATTACGTAAATTTGTGAATATGAGCATTCTGCTTATATACATAAACATGTCTCATCCCCTGATAAAATAAGAACAATATCAATGTATTAGAAGTCGATTAATTACGCATCATTAAGGATAACTCAAAAACTACTGGGACTGATCCTTTAAAATTTGCATATAAGGGACCACATGAGAAGCACCAGCTTTCAAATAAAAAGTAATCCTCACAATTGGTTCACCTAGAAAAAAATCTGAGTTAACACAGATTAAAAAATACAGTCAAATTGGGAACCTCCTTCTTTTTTGTGGTCGGTTAAAAGCATCACTATCTCTTTGTTGTTTTTTTATACGATAGGGTGACAAACGAGCACACATTCCACCTGATGGTAAGTAATTTCTGTGGCCCATAGACATCTACATCTATCCTCGATTACCAATCAAAATGCAGATGCGTGTGCAGTAAAAAGGGTCTCTGGTTCTCTACACTCACCATACGAAACACAGCAGCTTTAAACTACTATTTGACGCTGGTATTCTGTGAGAGCGTGGTCTCTCGTCGGTCGAGCCGATCCATTTGTGCTACAACTATAATACTAATATAACTGCAGCATGGCTCTACCACGTAAAACGTGTTGTAGAATGCAAAATAAGGTAGTGGCACATTTGAATCCAAGATAGAGAAAGCTCGCCCATGTACTCAGTTCTTGTCACAGTCTCTTGCAGATATATTTATCCCAGACTGAGAGTACTGATTCACGACCTGAAATTAAAAATTAGTTACCTGAAATGTAGTCAACTTTAATTTCAAGCATTTAAATACAATGAAACATACGATATGTTTCATTGTATTTAAATACTTGAGTAGTACAAGAAATATCTCTAATAATTTCTGCAAGTTTATCTGCAGTTAAAAATGCATTGGAGAAATATTGGGCAATGAGCTATTTCACCGACTTCCTAACACCAACAATTATAAATACCAACGCATAATATGATGAATTTTAACATTTTTCATAAAGACATCTTTCATTTTTAGGCTCAACAATATCTGATATGTTTTGAAATGTTTCTTGCCGTTCTTCATTGGATATATAATAATAATAATAATTAGCTGAAGATAAGTGCGCAGTATAAATACATTCATTTCATGTGTCCATCGTCTACGCGTTTTAGAGACGCCGCTAGTAGGTGCAAGCTCAGAGTCATTAATGACATCTTGCACAACACTGTCGGTCCTATTTGGTGAAGACAAGTTGGATGTTTCACTTGTCAGATACTCGGAGGGATTGAAATCGACAGATGATGTTGTTGGTGTGGTATCATCGCTTGAAGATTCAGCTGTAGCATCAACGCCGCAAGCCCGCTTGTTCAACTCACGGCGCCCGGCTGTAGCATTTTGTGTGACGGACGCCCGCCTGCTCAGCGTCTCGCCACCGGTGTCCCGCGAACTGTAGCACCCAGCACCTGCTCCAGGTGCGCCCCGGCGACCCCCGGGCAGCGGCCGTAAATTATACATCTTTTTACTGTGCTCCATTAGTGGGTTTGTGTTGGGAATGATTAGTTCAGAGAGAGAGAGAGTTGGCCAGATATTATTGGTATTAAATGTTTGGTATCTCCCGCTTGGGGTATTAGATCAAGATCTTCAGATCTAGTACTAGTGTCTGCTCTCTTTAAGCCCCCCCACCGCGACAAGGTTCACTCCCTTGGGGGGGATATAATAATAATAATAATAAAATAAATATAATAATAATAATAATAATAATAAAATGGCGTAGGGAATTGACGACCCCATCGCCCGCTGACGTAACAGTTAAGTGACAAAACTGCTACGTCAACGCAGTCAGTCAGCGCCTTGCGAGAGGTGTGAGCGCCGTGCCTCTGCAGAATTCAGGGTGCAAAGGCCCGTTTGTGCTTATGGCCGTCCACGACACGGTGCCGGGCCTGGGCGTCTCCCGTTAATGGACGCCCATATTATGGATGATGGAGAAAAAGATAGTGCGCAAAGGGCCGCTGCCTGGAGGTCGCCAGGGCGCGTCTGGAGCTGGCGCTGGACGCGATAGCATGCGGGCCGCCAGCCGAGCGCGGGGGTGTTGCAAGACCACCTAGCAGCCCCCCGCATCCATCATCCCCACCAGAAGGCTTGGTGTCGGCTGGGTCTTCTCGGACTCAGCAAGCGGCACCCGCCGCTGGTGGAGCACGTCGCATGCGTTGGTCTAAATCAATGAATGAAAACGCACTGCGGGCGTATTTTAGGGCAAAAGGGGAAGAAACTGGATGTTTGGCGTATCGGGCTCGGATGCATCGCTTTTTTGCAGAGCTGGAGCCATCTCTATCCGTCACTGAGCAAAACCTGGCAGACCGAGTTAGGTACATCCTGCGCTCCAACATATTTGGTGACGCCGAACTCGAGCGACTACGACGTGAGGCTATTCCTTCATCGAATGGAAATGCTACGGCTGGGAATGCGGCGCCACTAGATGCGCAACAAACTGCATATGTGGATGCTGCCGTCAACATTCCATTTGTGGCTAATTCAGACGATGATGGAATAGTCTCCCACGAACTAGAGAAAATGAGGAGCATACTGGAAGAGTCGATGCTGGAAACGCACAGCATGCCTCTCGAAAATCGACCGCGACTTCCCCGCATACCCCTTAGCAAGCGAAATCGGGCTGTCGTGCGGGCTCTTAACCCAATGCTGATGACCTATTTGGAAGCCAGCCGAGACCTTTGCGAGACGGATTCAATTCTTTTTGGCGCCTCACTGGCAGTATGCCGTATTATTGGCGCCAAACTTCCCGTGGCTGGACGTGCTACTCAAAAAAGTAGCGTCATCCTAGCCTGGAGAAAAAGAATTGAGGACCGTATCGCAAAGGCAAGGGCCCTTTTCGGCAGACTGACAAGCTTCAGGTCGGGTAATAATAGACCGAGGATTATGCGCACCATTAGGATGGCGTTTGCTGGGACAAATATCAGTTTGTTCCAGCCGGATATCACGCAAAAACTAACGGAGCGCATAGATGACCTGAAGCAAAAAATCGCTGCTTGGGGGAAGCGGATTCGACGATTTGGCGAGAGGTCAAGGCGGTTCAACCAGAATCGTCTCTTTTAGAGTGATCAGAAGAGGCTCTATAAATCATTGGAGCGACCAGAGGTATGTGGAGCGGGCCCAGGACCGGATCAGGCTGACACTGTCGCATTTTGGTGTGGCCTGTGGTCAGAGACCGTAAACCACAGCGAGGGCCCTAGGATGGAAGTTGTGGCGAGCCAGAGTGCAAGTGTTACGCCTATGGACCCCGTCACCATAACGCCTGAAGACGTGGCTGAGGCGGTCCGTAGGGCCCCGAACTGTAAAAGTCCGGGGCTCGACGGGCGGCATCATTACTGGCTGAACGGGTTCGTAGTGTGTCACGCTGTGCTCGCCCGACAGTTTCAAGAGGCTCTCGATCAGAAGTCGCTCCCGAGCCTCTTCACTACTGGGATCACTCATTTGGTTCCTAAAGATCAGGATACCACAGACCCGAGCAAATACCGCCCCATCACGTGTCTACCCACCATATATAAGACACTGACATCCATTTTGAGCGCGAGAATCACTCGTCACCTGGAGCTAAATCAGGTGATGTCACGCGCTCAAAATGGATGCCGGGGCGGTGGTCGTGGAACCAAGGAACCACTCCTCATTGACGCGGTCATTGGCAAAGTGGTGAAACGCAACCGTCGGAATTTCTCCGCCGCCTGGATAGACTACAGAAAGGCATTCGACTCGGTGCCCCATACATGGCTAAAGAGAGTCCTCCAGCTGTACAAAATTGACTGTACAGTTAGAGACTTCCTCGAGCAGTATATGGGGCAATGGAGTACGATCCTTTGCTATCTGGGCGAGCGGATGATGGCTGCGGAGAACCACATAAGGATAAGAAGGGGTATCTTCCAGGGCGATTGTCTGAGTCCAATCTGGTTTTGCCTCTCCCTGAACCCTCTCAGTACTTTACTGGAGGGCTCCGGGAGGGGATTTCAGCTTCTGAAAGGAGGTACAAAAGTGACCCACCTTTTCTATATGGATGACCTCAAGTTATTCGCCTCCAGTCGCTCCCATCTTATGGAATTGCTAAACATCACTTGTGAATTTAGCAATTCTATTGGAATGGAGCTGGGAACGGATAAGTGTGCGGTCCTCTATGTTGAAAGGGGGAGGGTTGTTAACTCTGAGGGCATGAACTTATCTATGCCCGTCAACTTAAGGACCCTTTCCGAGGCTGAAACATACCGATACCTGGGTATGTCACAGAACATCGGTATCGATGAGGCTGGTATGAAAAAGTCAGTTTGCGACGTGTTTTATGCACGCTTGACCAAAGTGCTTAACAGCCTTTTGTCCGGTGTGAATAAGACACACGCATATAACAGCTGGGTCATGCCTGTCCTCATGTATACCTTTGGCATACTCAGGTGGACTCAGACTGAACTTAACGCCCTGGATAGAAAAGTCCGCACTACCATGACGTCCCACAGGATGCATCATCCGAGATCGTCGGTAATGAGGCTGTACTTGCCGCGAAAGCATGGTGGGCGTGGCTTCTTGAGCGCGCTCACCATACATAATCGCGAAGTGTGCAGCCTCCGTAATTACTTCCTGGCGAGATCGGATGATCCATTCTATAAGGACGTCATTTCTAGTGATAAAGGACTTACCCCTCTATCCTTAGCCAACGAGCAATGGCAAGACCCGGCAGTGCAGACAATTTCCGACCGGGAGAACGTATGGAAGGAGAAGGAGCTCCACGGGAGGTTCTACAAGGCTCTACATGAGCCTTTCGTAGACACAGTAGCCTCCCTCCACTGGCTACGCTTTGGTGATCTCTTCGGGGAAACCGAGGGTTTTGTCTGTGCAATACAGGATCAGGTTATTAAGACCAACAACTATCGGAGATACATCCTAAAGGATGGCACCGTGGACATCTGTCGGGCTTGTCGCCATCCCGGTGAGTCACTTAGGCATGTCATCTCCGGTTGTTCGGCGCTTTCTAACTCTGAGTACTTGCACAGGCACAACCTAGTAGCCAGAATTCTTCACCAGGAGCTCGCTCTGAAATACGGTCTCGTGGATCGGAAATTGCCGTATTACAAGTACTTGCCGGAAGCTGTGCTCGAAAATGATCGCGCCAGGCTCTATTGGGACCGGGCCATCATCACAGACAGGACTATTCTTGCGAATAAGCCTGATATTGTGCTGATGGACCGGGCACAGTCAAGGATATTTTTGGTCGACATTACCATTCCGTATGACGAGAACCTCGTGAAAGCCGAAACAGACAAGCAAACAAAATATCTGGACCTGGCTCACGAGGTGACCGACATGTGGGGTGGTCTGCCGACCGAAATTATTCCTGTAGTCGTCTCTGCAAACGGGCTAATCCCAGTCAGCCTCTCGGGTCATCTGAGGCGACTGGGACTACGTGGCGGACCGCTCCGGGCTCAAATGCAGAAGGCGGTGCTCCTCGGTACCGCCCGCATCGTCCGCCGGTTTCTTTCTCTTTCCCCCTAACCCTCGGCCGTTTGGTCTCCCCTGCCGAGGGCCTCCATCTGGTTGGGCTTTTATTTATTTAAGTATTTTTATATTTATTTTATGTTATAGTTATTTATGTATATTTATCTTTTCATTTCCATTTATAATTATATATTTATAGAACCCAACCAGATGAGAAAACTATATTGATACCCCCAAAAAATAATAAAACCAACAACTATCGGAGATACATCCTAAAGGATGGCACCGTCGACGTCTGTCGAGCTTGTCGCCATCCCGGGGAGTCACTTAGGCATGTCATCTCCGGTTGTTCGGCGCTTTCTAACTCTGAGTACTTGCACAGGCACAACCTAGTAGCCAGAATTCTACACCAGGAGCTCGCTCTGAAATACGGTCTCGTGGACCGGAAATTGCCGTATTACAAGTACTTGCCGGAAGCCGTGCTCGAAAATGACCGCGCCAGGCTCTACTGGGACCGGGCCATCATCACAGACAGGACTATTCTTGCAAATAAGCCTGATATTGTGCTGATGGGCCGGGCACAGTCAAGGATATTTTTGGTCGACATTACCATTCCGTATGACGAAAACCTCGTGAAAGCCGAAACAGATAAGCGAACAAAATATCTGGACCTGGCTCACGAGGTGACCGACATGTGGGGTGGTTGGCCGACCGAAATTTTTCCTGTAGTCGTCTCTGCAAACGGGCTAATCCCAGTCAGCCTCTCGGGTTATCTGAGGCGACTGGGACTCCGTGACGGACCGCTCCGGGATCAAATGCAGAAGGCAGTGGTCCTCGATACCGCCCGCATCGTCCGTCGGTTTCTTTCCCTTTCCTCCTAACACTCGGCCGTTTGGTCTCCTCTGCCGAGGGGCTTCCATCTGGTTGGATCTTTATTTATTTGTGTATTTTTTGTATTTATTTTATTTTATTGATATTTATGTATATTTATCTTTTCATTTTAATTTATAATTATATATTTATAGAAACCAACCAGATGAGAAAACTATACAGATACCCAGATAATAATAATAATAATAATAAATTTATTGCCTCTAAAAACCACAGTTACATTCACGTTAAAACAAAAGAACATTATAATTATTTGAGACAAAAGGAGACGGCTCAGCTTTGTCTGTAACGAGATACAGATCTCATACAGAGCTGTTTTTCAGCCGCTCCCTCCTCCCTGAGGTGTTGTGCGGGAGTCCAAAGTAGTAGGCTCCCCATTTACCTGACTTATACTTTTAAACTACGTACAAAGTAATTAAATATTATATCAATATAAAATATTTTTTTAATTAAAAAATATTATATAAATATTAAATCGCAAATACAAAAAAAAAGATTAAAAACATTAAAGACAAAATAAAAACATTTAAAAATATGCATAATATCCCTAAACTAGCTTTTTACCTACGGCTTACTCGCGTCAGCTTGAATTTTGAAACATCAATCGTACTATTTCGTACTAAAATTAGCAAAACTGGATCACTTGTAGGGACACCTCGGTATCTGATTTGAAATGTGGTAATATAATATACTTTAGAAGCACATAAGTGAGTTTATTATAATTGCATTAATATTATACGTCCAGCAACACCATTTTTATCGGGCATGTCTTCCGCTATATCTTTATGAATGAAAAATTGTCCTAGAATCAGAAATACGTTATTTAAATTTAATTCATAATTAAAGTTGATATAGTTTTGACAAAATGAACATGTTGAATTTCGTGATCTTTATGAATATTGGTCTCATAGAATATTGATTAGCACCATAAAATACATGCCAGTATTTTTCTACGTTCATGGGTATCGAAAGAGGTGACAGAGGGAAACTGAAAACGGAGATGTATGACAGCATCATCCTGATAACATTTTTTTTATAGAAGATGGGCAAACGAGCATGCGGCTCATCTGATGTTAAGTGACTACCGCCGCCCATCATCAGCCCTTTAGAAAGGAGTAAGTTCTTTTCTTGAAGGTCCCAAGGTCGTATCGGTCCGGAAAAATCGCCGGTGGTAAACTATTCCACAGAAAGGTTGTACGTGGAAGAAAACTTCTGAAACGTGCAGTGGTGGACCACCAAGCATCCAGATGGCGAGGATGGTATCGGGACGTTTGCCGCGTAATGAGTTGACGAAATTTGGCAGCTGGGATTAATCCGCACAATTCCTCAGAGCACTCCCCTGGTACAAGCGAAAGAAAATGCAAAGAGACGCAACATCTCTTCGTAGCGCCAGTGTTTCGAGCCGATCGCAAGGCACTCGGTCGTCGACGATTCGAGCCGCTTTACGCTGGATGCGGTCAAGTGGAAGGAGCAAGCACTGAGGAGCCCCAGCCCAGAGATGGGAACAGTATTCAGTATGCAGCCGAACCTGCGCCTTGTAAATTTGCAGGCGGTGTGCTAGCATGAAATACTGTCCCGCTCTGTGAAACACGCCAAGTGATTTTGAGGCCAATTTGGCCTTCTTTTAAAAGTGACCACGAAACTTTTTAAACTGGACCAGATTTAGTGACCCCCAATCCGAGACTTTGTTCTGCAAAGACTCGACTTCGTACACAAGTTTGTCCCGGTAC